TTATCTTCCATCGGCAAAGGAATCATTGCTTTAAAAAACAAGACTGCAAGGTTGGCCTAAAAACCTCATCACCGCACAAAGATAATCATCTAACAACAGAGGTACACATAAAAACAATACCTGATATTTTGTGTATGGTTTAGGTCCTGGACCTGAAACCTCTTTGCGTTGAGTGTTCATTTTGTCTATAGTAGATCCAGTCTCCTGGTGCCCTTGTCCTGATGGTACTGGACCAGGTCTGTACTCATGTACCTGTGCTACAGGGAATCCACCTCATACCCCACTTGACCCACTCACACTGTTAATATGAGCATGTGGCGCATGCGGGCTTCTGATTATCACTGCCGATAAAAACCATATAATAAATTTTATACAATCATGAGTGCTAAATCCATTAGGGTCATACAGAACCTGTGGAATGGAAGGTAAATGAGTTCCTTTGATCAAGAGCCCTTCAAACACATCAGGCAACATCCTCCAATATCCCCCAAGGGAATAAAGAGCGACCAACAAGATCGCTTTATAATATAAAAAAAACGACCAGCAAGGTTTGCTTAATTACATTGAGTAAGTGACCTTACTGGTCATTATAAAGTTAGCAACCTACATATAATAACCAGTACAAATTTATAATTTAATTGTAGACAAAATAACACTACCATTTCGATATTTTTTATATAATAATTTAAGAGTATCATTTATATACGCAGCATAAGAACTTATGTGAGATTACAATCCCTCTACTATTGTCTCTCACCACTTCGAGAACCGCTATGTGTAATATGGTGTTTTCACACCACTTCAGAAGTCATATTATGGTGGTGTCCTTGACTCACTTCAAGAAGTCATGCATATGGTGTCACCACTGTAAGATGTCAATGGCATAAGGTTTCATCCACTCTTAAGAAATCATGGTATAAATGGAGTGCACTTCACGAAGTTATGGTAATATGGTGTCACCACTTCAAGAAGTCCTGGTATATGGTGTGTCACCAATTCAGAAGTCATAGTATATAGTGTCACTACTTCAGGGGAGATGTCATTGTATATGTGATGTACACCATTTCAGATGTTATGGTATGTGGTGTCACTATTACAAGCTGTCGTGGTATATGGTGTCACCTTTCAAGATGTTACGTATATGGTGATCACTATTGTCAAATGTCAGGTATAAGGTGTCCACTATTTGAAGATGTTATGGTAATGGTGTCACCAATTCCAAGAATGTATAGGTATACGGTTAGTCACCACTTCAAGAAGACAAGGAATAGACGGTGTCACCAACATCAATAAGTCATGGATATGGGAGTCACCACTTCAAGAAGTCATGGTATATGGTGTCACCAACTTCAAGAAGTCATGGTATATGGTGTCACCACTTTCAAGAAGTCATGGTATATGGTGTCACCCACATCAAGAAGTCCAAGTAATATGTGTCACCACTTCAAGAATCATGGTATATGGTGGTCACACTTCAAGTAAGTCATGGCGCTATGTGTCACCGACTTCAAGAAGTCATGTATATGGTGTCCACCACTTCAAGAAGTCATGGTAAATGTGTCAAACCACCACTTCAAGAAGTCATGTATATGGTGTCACCACCATCAAGAAGACATGGTATATGGTGTCACCACTTCAAGAAGTCATGGTATATGGTGTCCGACCACATCAAGAAGTCATGGTATATGTGACACCACGTCTGAAAGTCAAGGTATAAGTGTCCCCACTTCAGAAGTCCAGGTATTAAGGTGTCATCCACTTCAAAGAAGTATGGTATATGGTGTCACCACTTCAAGAATCATTTGATATGGTGTCACCACTTCAGAAGGTCATGGATATGGTGTCAACCACATCAAGAAGTCATGGTATAGGTGTCACCTACTTCAAGAAGTCATGGTAATATGGTTGTCACCACTTCAAGAAGTCATGGTATATGGGTCCACCACTTCAGAAGTCATTGTATATTGAGGAATAATATATACTTCAAATCTTTGTTGTTGTGGGTGTTAGGGACACTAAAGTTTATTTTTAGCAGTGTTGCCTAAACAGTTAATTTATTGTTCCCCACAGCAATGGGTCTTTATCAGTAAGTTTATATAGGCACAGGTACACATAAGTACAATTATCATACAAAGTAACATATGTGTAAAATAACCTAGGATAACCCAAAATAGACAAACAATTTGACTTATTTCCACTGTGACACCAAAGTTACATTACAAAAATATATAATTAGTTTACACACATTACAGTTTCTTCATGTAGCTAATGAATGCAACATGAGTTACAATCTCAAGAAACATTCACTATCTTATTGCCACTAAAAACATTGGTTATTATTGCTTTGCAGCCTCATTAATAAAATCAATTTTTTCATCTTGTCGACGCAAAATGTGGATAGAATCAAAGAATTTCAGATATGTTATCATTAACAATTAAATGCTTTACCATATCCAGTAACTTTTGCATGGAGATCCTCTCCAAATACGATACTAACGATGCCACAAACAGCCCTTCTCACACTAATACCATTTCCACACCCATCCATACCTCACTATGCTATTTTGTGCTTGGGATCAACTGCAACAACACACGTAAAGCCAATAATAACCCAACAAAAAGCCGCAGCAAGAATAATCACGCAATCCCATCCCAGGCAACACACCCCCACCACTCTTCATAGATCTAAACTTACTCCCTGTTCAGAACATACACACTTACTACTGTGCAATCTACATCTACAGACCTTAATTCCAATATAACCTTGACCTAAAATGCTTTCTTGATAGTTGTGACAGGACCCACAGGCATAACACCAAACACAAACATCTCTATGACATTCCCCGTGTCCCACTAAACCTTTACAAAAATTCAATGTACGTCAAAGGGCCTAAAAATCTGGAACACCCTACCTTGAAAACCTCTAGAAAACTGCAGACATATTCAACACCTTCAAACACCGTAGAAAACATCTTAGTTCTCCCCAGATACACTCACCCCAACAGCAACATACATGAAAAACCACCTGGTGTTCACACTTACACTCACACACTCACCCAACTGACTATAAACACAGAAATACGAATCTTAAAATAATGAATCCTAGCTAGTCATAAGTTTGCCTGTGATACTTCCCTAATAAACTATGGTATTGTACCATATCAAAAGCATTCACAATGCTAATTACAACTGTATGTAGATTTACTTAGCCATTAATACCAGAACAAGCCTGCATAATCTGTAATAATTTAGAGTTATGAATTAATCTTAGTCTACCCGAAATCCCTAGCCATGCTAGGTGTGATAGTGGCCCCCTCTGTAATTAGTATTTTATAACATGTAAACCACACAATATCCTAAAATTTGTAAACCCCGCATTGTAATCTTTATAGAGAATAAACTTGATTTGATTTTGAGATGTTTCTGAAAGATTGGAGGTTTGGAGTTACTTCAAATATAACTGGCCAGGGGCTCTTGTTCCAAGGAACTGGACTCTTCCCTTCCTTGGATGGAACTTGATTTCCTCGCATTTTCTTGCTGCTGTATGACTCCTACGGGCTTAGCGCTTCCCCTAAATATAATAATACAAATGAAACCGCAAAGGAATTTAGCCTTTCAGTATTATAGGTGAACAGATGCGAATGTTAAATGAAATGAAAGATGTGTAGTGAATAAAGTATATTACCTTGAACTTGACGTAAGTATGTCTGAGCAGCATATACACAACCCATGGTACACAACATTGTATCTTCACTCTGCCAACCATGCAATGTCTGAAATATATACATTGATATTAACCAGAATAAAAATATTGTACCTACAATACAATACAAAGCTCAAATGAATATGTTATATTTTTTTTTCTGGACACCATACGTAACTTGTCAATGAAAAACAAACAAAAACACGAACGTATATACATCGTAAAAACCTATTACCTGTATTAAACATTAATAGTTATTACCGACGAATATATAACAAGCACTGTCCAATACTATCTTACACAATATCGAATACCTTGGCAGTATGGCACTATATCACCATGATAAGGTGTAAACGCCACTCTTAACAAAACCACATTATTATCAATGCACCCGGCATCATTCCCTGCTGAAGATGCTCTGTGATATAGCAAAAGGATACATATATCATATCCTCTCTATATATACTTTTTTTAATTTTGTTATAATGCAAAACAATGTAAGACTTACACACAGTACTGCTGACAGAGAGCGATAGCCTGGCGCCAGTCCGAACCACCCAGGTGGACTGTAAGCAATGATAAAACCAACAATATTTGTAGATCCTTTCATAGTTCCAGTTTACAGGTTAAGTAATGTTATTCCTACCTCAGCTTATTTAAGAGCCCACCACCTCTAATTAAAAGTAAGCACCCAACCCAAGAATGCGACACCCACACCAGTCGATTAGCACTCGGGTAATCTATCTGCAGATAGATTGAAAAGAAGGCAGCAATGCAAAGAAGAAAATTAAGACACAAGCGCAACTCCTGGATATCTAATGTTGTGGACGTTTGCATCCCATGCTATATCAATACAATACAAGGACATAACAAAAATTAACTTTTATGGTCGTTAGTTGTTCTTGTAAGCCAACGCACAGGCTATATAGGTACTATCACCCATCAATGTCTCGTAATATATTTTGTCTATTCAAATGTTTTGAAGAAGAAAAACTAGTTTCGGGTCTTGCTAGTTTCTCCCCACAAATCATGTCATATCAGTTGTCATATTGGCTCATAAAGAAGGGTTCCCATCATCACCTCCATTATCTTAACCATCATATGTCCGGTCATTCATGTGTTTCCCGGAACCCGTTTAAATGCGGCTCTTGCTACTGTCCTGTCTCCTGCTGTTGATCCTGGTTATGATTAATGATACATACACCGGATCCCCCCACAATCATGTTGCAATTTACTATAAACTTACTGGATACAATTCTGTTATGCTCTCAACTCCTTAAGTTTTCCACTGATTAACATGCCCACTCTTTCCCTTGCCTTCTGTTTCCTTCCCACTATGTGACACCCAACTGAGAAACTGTTTTTATAAATAATATAATAAAAAAAATAGAATAAAAAATAAGAATAATAATATCTTTTTAACTACAAAAATACGTACAGTAGACCAGGCCTAGCAACAACAAAGACATACAAACTATACATAAAGCCCCTTGTTATGCTCAGCCAATTTCGGGCAAATTAAGGTCAGAGTCCCGCAGGATGTGACCCCACACCAGTCGACTAACACCCAGGTACCCATTTTACTGATGGGGAACACAGACAACAGGTGGAAAGAAATGCACCTAATGTTTCTACTCTGGCTGTATGATGTTATTTCAGTTAAATTTCAATGAGGTGAGAGCTGTGCGTATATGTGCATATGGGCGTGTGTGGATGGCCGTGTATAATTCGCAAAATTCTAATTACCTCACACAGAACTGTGCATATGGTGTCATGTTTAGGTTGTTACTAGTAACTTATTAAAATAACATCGAGCTGTGTTTGCAGGAGTCGAGTCTCAGCTTCTGGCCCTGCCTCTTAAACTACAATAGCCGGCATTATTGGTTCCTGGCCTCATGGGCCCTAGCAGTGTACTGAAAAAACAAACCATGGAACGGAACGGGTAGGATTTGAACCCATGGCGAGTGGGTCACAGTGTATTGAGCCTTCCTCTATCACTTCACCATCTAGCTCATTCCATTTATTTACCACCCTGAGACTGAAAAAGTATTTCCTAACATCCCTGTGGCTCATTTGTGTCTTTAGTTTCCATCTACTGTATGACCTCTTGCCCCGCTGCCTCTCATTTCAAAAAAGTCTGTCCCTATCTGCTCTGTCAAAACCTCGGAGTATCTTTTAGTTCGCAAACATGTCTCCCCTAATCCTACTTTAAAGCAAACAGGTACAATTCTATAGTCTCTTCTAACTCAATCTCCTCAGCCATGTAGAGTCTTGTTGCAAACCTGAGAACCTTTCTAGGTTTCATATATGTTTGATTATAACAGGGCTCCGTGCTGGTGCTGCATGCTCCATGACGGGCCTAACATATGTCATATAGAGAGTCCTAGAAGACTTTTTTAATCAGGTTAGAAGAACAAATTCTGAGATTAGCAGTCCTCGCACATACAACAGATGCTATTCAATATTATGTTTCACATCTGACGATATGTTGGGTGTGATGTTGACTCCAAGATGCTTCCTTAAGCGTTATCTGTAGTTTCTCATTCTATTCCTTCTCTGGTCGCCTCTCAACAGAACTTGCTAGAGTTAAACTCTAGTAACCATATGTCTGACCATTCTTGTAGTTTATATAGTACATCGTCTTGCACAACAATGTACAATACTACCACGCTATTTCTGCATTTGTGTTAGGTAAAAATTATAAAACATGGTGTGGGTGGTATTGGTGAGTGGGTAAAGGAGAAGACTAGAGTTATATGATTGTTGTGTTGTGGTGCGGCCGGTAGCAACACTAGATAAATAAACTGTTGCCTTGATACAAGACTACCTTCACTTAGAGGTCCAACTCTGTGGAGAAATTTTCTCCAGGAGGGGGGTATCAGCCCCCTTCAGCCATTTCAGCCCCTTTCAGCCCTGAGGGGCCAAGCCCTCTCAGAAGGGGCAAGCGTCTTGTTTACTGCTACAGTGAGTAATTGATCACAGATGCCGTACGACATGCAACGTGGTCAAGTGACCGTTGCTCCTTGTAGTCCAGTGTTGCAGAGTGTATTTTAATAAGAGACAGTATATTTCTTACTTTAGCAGGACAATTAAGGTAAATCCTGCTCCCACTTTATTACCATAGTAAAGATAGTGTACATTGTTGTCTATGCTTAAGACAGCAAGAATCAAACATTCTGCTTTGCTTCATCGAGGAAGTGGCAAGGAAGCAAAAGTACTAGGTCAGCTATTTTTTTGTGCTAGGGGAGCGACGGCGTGGGGCGTTGTGGCGTCTTCAGATTACTTTTGACTCTACTGAGAGTGACACTGATGCCAGGATAACCAATAAAGAACGATCTGTGCTTTAGTGTGGACAAAGTGTCTCACAAAACACGATAAACACTTACAGAGAAGTGTGATCAACTTCTTAGTGATATTGTGTGAACAATTATTGATGAACAGTGTAACAACGAGTGTTGCGATCCAACAGAGTGTAGTGCGACATTCTTCAAAGAACACTATTCTTCAATCAACTCAACGGATATCCGGGCATAATTACGGGTCAGATACATATACCCAGGTAAGTTTTCTAACTCATGATGTACTACTATTGACTGCACAGTTGAGTATAAAGTCGTGAGTTAGTCACTTATCATAAACCCCGGTGATATGCGGACCATTGAGTCCACACAAGTAGGTATTTTGTCAGCCATCAGTGAATGAAATATGCTGACATAACACCCCCTAGGGGTAATTTATAATCTTACAAATTATATTTCTTGACAGCCCGTGTTGAGATGGTTTCGACAGCTTCTAGACCTCGTCTGCAGGGGCGGCTGTGCAGACGATGAGTTGTCTTTTTAAGTTAAGTATAAGTCTTTAAACTTAACTGGTAATGCCATTTCTCAACAAACACCCCCCCCACACACACACGCACACATCAGCGACCAGTGAAGAGGCGGGGCCGGGAGCTAAGACTAGACCCCTGCAACCACAATTTGGAAAACTAGGTGAGTACATTACAAAGTGCAGGGGAAAGTCACCATCACTCCTGCCACTACAAAGGTGTAAGGGAGTCACCATCACCCCTGCCACTACAAAGGTGTAGGAGTCACCATCACCCCTGCCACTACAAAGGTGTAGGGGAGAGTCACCATCACCCCTGCTACTGCAAAGGTATGGAGGGGAGTCACCATCACCCCTGCTACTGCAAAGGTGCAGAGGGGTCACCATCACCCCTGCTACTGCAAAGGTGCAGAGGGGAGTCACCATCACCCCTGCCACTACAAAGGTGCAGGGGAGTCACCACCACCCCTGCCACTACAAAGGTGCAGGGGAGTCACCAACTCCCCTTCTCCTACAAAGGTGCAGGGGAGAGTCACCATCACCCCTGCCACTATAAAGGTGAAAGGGGGTCACCATCACCCCTGCCATTATAAATGTCCAGGGGAGAGTCATCATCCCCCTGCCATTACAAAGTTTTCAGGGGGGGTCACCATCACCCTTGCCATTTTAAAAGGGGGAGGGGAGGTCAATCAACCCTGCCCTTACAAAGGACAGGGGAAGTCACCATCCCCCCCACTCAAAGGGGTAGGGGAGGTCACCATCATCCCTACCACTACAAAGGTGCAGGGGGAAATCACCTCACCCGAAACACAAAGGGGCGGGGAGAGTCCCATCACCCTTTTCCCCAACCCCCCTTCCTGGTTTTTTTTATTTTTTTTTACACGCTTTGGTTTGGGGGCGTCCCAAACCTCCTTGAAGGATAACCCAGACCTGGTCTACTGGCGTCCCATATCCTCCTCTTGAAGGATAACACCAGACCATGGTCTACTGGGCGTCCCATATCCTCCTCTTGAAGGATAACACCAGACCATGGTCTACTGGGCGTCCCATATCCTCCTCTTGAAGGATAACACCAGACCATGGTCTACTGGGCGTCCCATATCCTCCTCTTGAAGGATAACACCAGACCATGGTCTACTGGGCGTCCCATATCCTCCTCTTGAAGGATAACACCAGACCATGGTCTACTGGGCGTCCCATATCCTCCTCTTGAAGGATAACACCAGACCATGGTCTACTGGGCGTCCCATATCCTCCTCTTGAAGGATAACACCAGACCATGGTCTACTGGGCGTCCCATATCCTCCTCTTGAAGGATAACACCAGACCATGGTCTACTGGGCGTCCCATATCCTCCTCTTGAAGGATAACACCAGACCATGGTTACTGGGCGTCCCATACCCCTTGAAAATTCGGAAAACACTTTTTTTCGAAACTTAAAAACCTAACCTACAATTATGAATTTTTAAGAGAAGTTTGGGCCGGGGGAACCACTGGTGGTTTTTAACCGGGTTAAAATGGGGGGGCCTTTTTGGGTTTTCAAAAATTTCCCTTAAGGCCCAAATGGAAATGCAATATTTCTGAGATAACACCAGGGTTGTAAAACCCCCCCAACCTTTTAATTCCAAAATTATTTCCACAAATACCCTGTGAGATACACTGACTTCTCCCATAATTTCTGAGAATAACACCAATAAAACTTACTGCACCATATTTTTGAAGGTTTACCCAAGCCCATGGTTTCTAGGGGCCTTTCCCCCCTTTAATAACAAAACATTTATGGGCCCATATAACCTCCTTTAAAGAAAACCCCAAGAATGTTACTGGGCCCCAACCCCCTTGGGGAAACAATAACCTGGCTTGGCCCTTTTTCCCCTCTTGAAAAAACAGAATTTTAAATGGGTCCCACCTCCCTTTAAGGCCCCGGAAAAGGTTAATGGGGCAAAACCCCCTTTAAATAACACCAGAACCGGGTCTATGGGCGCCCATACCTTTTTAAAGAATCCCAAAATGGAATCGGGAGAACCAAAATCCTTAAGGAAACAAAGAAAAAAGGGTTTTCCTTTCCTCCTTGAAGGTAAAACAAAACCAGGTCTAGGGGCCCTACCTTCAAGGATCAACAGAACCCAAAGGAAATGGGACTCCCATATCCTCTTTTTAAAGGTAACCCAAACCCCATGGACGGGCCCCAATTCTTTTGAAGAAAACACAGACCATGTTACTGGCTACCATTACCCTTTAAGGAAAAAACCCGGGCCATTTAAATGGGGCCCTACCTCCCCAAGGGCCCAGACCATGGCTCCGGGGCTCAAGACTCCCCAATACACCACCATCTACTGGGGTCCCATACCTTTTGAAGTACCCCCAGGTAACTGGGACCATACCCCTTTTAAAAGGGGGGGGAAACACAAGACCATGCTACTGGGTCCCATACCCCCCCTTAAATAACAAAAAATCAAAGGTCTAGGCGTCCCAACCCCATCTGAA